AGCCTTCAACAAGTGAACTGAACCAACAAGTGAACCACAGCCTTCAACAAGTGAACCACAGCCTTCAACAAGTGAACCACAGCCTTCAACAAGTGAACCACAGCCTTCAACAAGTGAACCACAGCCTTCAACAAGTGAACCACCTTCAACAAGTGAACCACAGCCTTCAACAAGTGAACCACAGCCTTCAACAAGTGAACCACAGCCTTCAACAAGTGAGCCACAGCCTTCAACAAGTGAACCACAGCCTTCAACAAGTGAACCACAGCCTTCAACAAGTGAACCACAGCCTTCAACAAGTGAACCACAGCCTTCAACAAGTGAACCACAGCCTTCAACAAGTGAACCACAGCCTTCAACAAGTGAACCATAGCCTTCAACAAGTGAACCACAGCCTTCAACAAGTGAACCACAGCCTTCAACAAGTGAACCACAGCCTGAACCACAGCCTCAACAAGTGAACCACAGCCTTCAACAAGTGAACCACAGCCTTCAACAAGTGAACCACAGCCTTCAACAAGTGAACCACAGCCTTCAACAAGTGAACCACAGCCTTCAACAAGTGAACCACAGCCTTCAACAAGTGAACCACATCTTCAACAAGTGAACCACAGCCTCAACAAGTGAACCACAGCCTTCAACAAGTGAACTACAGCCTTCACCAAGTGAACTACAGCCTTCAACAAGTGAACCACAGCCTTCAACAAGTGAACCACAGCCTTCAACAAGTGAACTACAGCCTTCAACAAGTGAACCACAGCCTTCAACAAGTGAACCACAGCCTTCAACAAGTGAACCACAGCCATCAACAGGTGAACCACAGCCTTCAACAGGTGAACCACAGCTCAACAAGTGAACCACAGCCTTCAACCAGTGAACCACAGCCTTCAACCAGTGAACCACAGCCTTCAACAGGTGAACCACAGCCTTCAGCCAGTGAACCACAGCCTTCAACCAGTGAACCACAGCCTTCAACCAGTGAACCACAGCCTTCAACAGGTGAACCACAGCCTTCAACAGGTGAACCACAGCCTTCAACAAGTGAACCACAGCCTTCAACCAGTGAACCACAGCCTTCAACCAGTGAACCACAGCCTTCAACAAGTGAACCACAGCCTTCAACAAGTGAACTTGTGGCACCTCTCGGACGCGTTCTCATAGTTGAGGACGTGGTGAACATCAAGTATGAACTACATCCACTACTCCAACTTCCGCGTCAGATGGAAAATGTCGACGGCCAACTACAATCAGTATTGGACATCCTTCATGGTCTCAGCACAGCTTCTAAGAATTCGACAATAGTTTCACAAACTATAGACCTTCCACACTTTCGTCTCCAGAACCTTCGCGAGTTTCTCGTCGATGTTGGGAAAAATCTACCTGCGTCTCAAGTGGATCTTGCTCAAGAAGTGCATTCTCAGGCACGACGAAAAAGGGGTCTCTTTAATTTTGTGGGTCTCATCCAAAGAGCCTTGTTTGGCACGGCAACGGCCGATGATGTAGCTAAATTGGGGGACCGAATGAACGTTGTCGTTCAGGCTGTATCTCAACAGAATCGTGTTATTTCTCAAACCTTTCACTCGATTACTGCTCTAGAATCAAAGGTTAATGCAATCATAGTGGAGTCTAACCAAGTTTCGAGGATTGTTACTAGGTTACAGAAAGCAATCCCGACATTAGAATGGCTCCTTTATTTCACAGAATATTTGCATGCTGCTGAAATTTCAGTTCATAAAATTGTAACCTCTAAAAATGAACTAATAGATAGCATTGTAGATGCCGGGATAGGACGTGTGGACGCGAAGCTTGTGCCTGTGCAGACGCTTCTTGGAGCTTTAAAAATAGCCAAGTTGCAGCATCATTTAACTCCTATTTTTAATGACAATGAGGTTCACTATTATTACCCACTGTTGGAGTCAAGCCTCACGCACAATGCAATTCTGATCCACATTCCTATGCGAGGGCAATATGAGTTTAATGCATGGCATTTAGAACCCTTCCCCTGGTTTGTAAACGACACACTGTATACCCTGGATAGGCCTAAAGAACTTTTCTTAGTAGATGAAGAGTATTCTTTGTTATCAATAGAGGATTCTGAGGTTCTGTCACGGTGTAAGTCGTCTTATCTACACCTACACGTATGTCCAGCCTACATGTTTGCATTTATTCCTGCTGCAGAGGGAATATGTGAATTGGCAGTCATACAACCAAATGTACGCACAACGCTAGCGCAATGCAGTTATAGGCCAGTTAGTCTAAAGACTGTGTTCCACGCTCATCTTCACAATGTGCAGTATTTGTTCTTTCCAAATCTCACTACTGTCATTTTAAAATGCCATGATGGTGTTAAGCAGCTAGTTGTGAAAGGTCATTACAAGGCTCCTGATTACTATGAAATCACTTGTAGTACATTACGGAACCTTGCCTACTCATCAGCATTTTGATTTAAATATAAAACTCAAGTCCTCAAGTCTGCTTTAATTCAACTTCCTGTAATGAATTTCACTATTAAGGATATTCAAATAGTATCAGAGAAATTAAAAGTTTTAGCTTTCTTGAACGAGACACATTTTGCTGATTTGAAAAATAACTTGCCATTTTACCTGTCACGGGAATTTGCACTACCAAGTCTTACAATTCCCTCTATTTTGTTAATTCTGGCAATTATGTTCCTGTTTTGTTATTACAGGGCAGTGTCATCCAAATTCAACATTGTTCATAACATACTAACCCGTACGACACTAAAGTCTAGGTCCCCTGTAGTAGCTGATACCCCTACAGTAGTAGAATCCCCAGCTTAGTGTCTACATATCTGTTTATAACATGGTTAGGGTTGTCTAGGATGTACTGTACTCTGTGAGTTATTTAGGCCTCACGGAGCTCAGCTGGTAGGTGACCGAGCGATGTAATGGGCCCCTGTCTCATCAACAGAACATATTATATAAATGGGTCAATACACCTGATATTATATTCAGATTCACCACCCTGTAACTTTCCACTGTCTATGAGTAAGACATGAGTAGTACACGTGAGAGGGCAACTCTCCCAGGAGGGAGAGACCCATCGTCAGCATATCTGTAACCCCGCAGAGCGAGGCCCTCACTCCTTAGTCACTCACAGGAAGTTATATCATAAGGACGTGACCTAACGTTTATAATACATAAACGCCGTCCCTTTCTCATTCACTCCTATACAGTGGAACTTACGGTCGATCTACACTCAGGAATTATATATACAATCCTTTTATAATAAAACAAGGAACTATCGTTTGGGTTTCGTTACTTAAACCCAAATAATAAATATATGTGAACGGCCTGGTTAATTGCACAAGTAGCAGATTCATATAAAATCTGACGGCAGTGACCACCGCGATGCCCGTATCCCCCTCATTTACGTTATTTCTTATGGGAGAAATTGCTCCGCTACTCACAATTTTAATAATACAGAAAAAATACAATACTGTATGTAATTTGTAATATAACTTGACAATAAAGGATAAGCTGTATCAGAAGGTTATTTACTCAAGATGCATTCGTGTGAGAGAGCTTACAACAATAGTATTTGATATGAAAATACCTTCCTAAAAACGTTATTTACTACCTTTGAGTGTTATATGATGGCTCAATTTGGCTACTTGTACACTTAGACAAATGATTAATGAATAAACCAGGGTATATGCAGATGCATAATACTGTACAATATTACTTATTAAGTGATGATAAATACACGACTGTACTGTTGAAGACAGACATTGTGGTGAGCCAAGCAGCAGTTTGCTCTTTAAAAAGAAATGACTCGGTTCAAAGTGGGATTCTATTTTCAGAAAAGTTGATTCTTTTAGGATAATATTTTATCAACCTGGCACCAAATGATCCTAAATTTTAAGAGAATTATGGTGGAATTGCATAAAGATGTGTTAAAGGAATCTTGGGGGAGAGAGGGGGAGGGCATACCCACCTGTGCTACCCCCCACTCCCAGATAAACACTTGTATTCCATAAATATACCCCCCCCCCGCCACCCTTTTTTTTACGGGGATTAGCCCACCCGGGCACAGGTCAACGACCCACGACGGGGCCTAGGGGGACGAAAAAATAAGAATAGAAAAAAATTAAAAGTAGAAAAGGAAAAGGTTATATTAATATACACCGCAAAGATGCCGGAAAACCAGCTTTTTGAAGTGAGACAGATTGTATGAGTATGGAAACACAGAAGAAGGCAAAGCATTCCACAGTTTGGCTGTGAGGAAAGAAGGATGTACTGTACTATAATGGGTTATTCTAGTGTGATCGACATCCACAGAAAAACGGTGGACACCGCGGGCAAGACGGGTGTTACGAGCCTACGGCCTTGTCGGTGGTACACAGGATGCCAGATCCATCGAACATTGCCCATTAAAGTGCCTGTAAAAGAGAGTGAAGCATCATTGCGGCAAAGAGAAAGGGAAGAAAGATGGTCAACTAAAGGAGGAGAGATAATAAGACGAAATGCCTTTGATTCCACCCAATCTAACAGTTGGACAGAAGAGGAGCCACCCCAGATATGAGAGCACTTAATTGTTCTTATTTTTATCTTTATAGTACTGTACAGTATACAGTTTTCTCTTTATTCATAAGACAAATTCTGTGGTTACTTACATATAACACTTTATAGTAAATAACAATCATCTCAGTGAGAACAGTTGTTGACAACCAGACTTGTATGTCTGATTTTCAACCCAGAGAGTTCTGTTTCATATTTTTTTATTGATGTAATATCTTTTTAATAACCTTGTTATACACTTAAAGACCTTAGTTGTTGAAGTGCAGTAATAACATAACATCAACTGAACTTCTTAAAACGGTTCAGATAAGCAGTGTTATCCCCCCCCCCCATATATTTGCATTTTTGGGACTGGGATCTACCCAAATTCGTCCGACTTTCCGAGGTTCTACTGTACTTTCCCTGCACTATGTTTTAAATTGAATATTTTTCTACTAATTGAGATACAATGCAACTTACTTGTCAAGGACTGTCTCCTGGAGGAAGGAGGCCATGGTAGCTGGGTTGTAACGCAGAGATATTGCACGTAACATTTTCATGATTTCCTCTACATGATATTCTCTTATACTGCTGCTCCGACTTTCTTCTTCTTCATTATCATCATTTATGTTCATTAATGATGAATACCCTGCAGGAAATTATATTCAATATACATTATAGTATCTATTGTCCAACCCGAGTTTGCGCACTGTAAATCAGCCTATATATATACCCATAACATTATGACACTACTCTACCAAACAAAAGGCAAACTTACCTATAGTTCATTCAAATCATGATTTTTATTGATATATTTTCAGGAATTTAGTGACAGTGTGGATATACTGTATTAACTAAGCCTAGCAACTATTCTCAAATATGGTTTGGCAACAGTGACCTCAACCACACTAGGTATCTGCTGTCTCCTCACTCAGATAGCACAGAATACTTATATTGTACGGTACAGGGTACTGTATATGCATTTTACGTAAGGTAGTAAAAATCAAATACCGTGTACAGTATATCATTCATATTTTGACCAATACAAGTTTTAGTTAAATCACATATAATAGTGAACAAGTAATGCTATGTAAGAATTGTAAGAATGTTTATACAGGATACAAATGGCTATCATCAGTGACAACAAAAACTTAGCTCTTAATCTTCCCACTACCAATGAAAAAAAAAGTAATCATTAATGTTTATAATAGTCTATACAGTACCTGTCCTGGTTGTTTTATGATTTAACTGTATGTTTATTGTTATAGTACATGCAGCTTTAATAAAGTTGACATAGGGTAAAACATCCAATAACAGGTATCTCAGCAGCACCCAGATCACATTTTCCCAATTCTTAATAGATTTACACTGTATGATTTTGTTATTATAAAGCCTCTCTAGGGATGAAACCCAGCACAATAATGAACATCAAATGTACAATCAAAGACAAAAGTCGTGTCGCGGTTTTGTCTGAAGATTAAATATAACTCGTGAAACATTACGAGAGCCCCCTACCACAAGGCAGTGAGCACCAAAAATTTAGCCCTTCGGCATATGTTTTCACCAAATTTCACGACACGACTTTTGTCTTTCATTGTACAAAAGTTGGGTATGAAATACGTACCTTTTTATCAATTTTTTTTTAAATCTAAAGTCTCATTCATGTTGAGAGTAAACATAAAAAAATCAGACTAGTTCTGTTATTATAAATTTATTGTTTCTTGTAGCCAGATGCTAATTACAAATATCTAAGAAATATTTGCAATAATTTTGACACAAACTGACTAATGCAAGTACAGTACAGTACTGTTTATTAACTTTGTAAGATCTGGCAGTACATTAGCTTCATGGACCAACATGGTTGCCAAGCAATACACTTGAGTGTAGCAACCAAGCCATGAATATTAATTTAAAAAGTCTCCTAATTGTCTTGTTATTTACCTTATTTTTTTAAAGTATTGTAGTCATCAAATAGTTATTCTTTAGTTTGAGTGCAGTGCTTATATTACATAAACAAAAAACTAACCTAAAACCCAGAGCAGCTCCAGATGTAATAAAGTCTGTAGCTTGTACTGATGAATTTGAACATCAGGAGAATCTCTATTACTAATTTCAGCGGTTGTCTGCAAAACTCCACTTCCTAAAACCTTACGTAACCCTTCCTGAAACAACAACAGTAATAATTAATTTCAAGAAAACTACAGTTGTACCCCACTTAACGCGGTCAATTGAACCCAGAGGGTCCCGCGTTAAGTGAAATCCGCGTTAAGTGAACAACAGAACATGGGATTAATTCCAATAGAAACCGGCCCGACCCCCAAACTCCACTTTTTCCGACACAATACCTATGTTCTAGTAAAAATAACATCTTAATTTTATGATGGTACATGCACACAATTAATACTTAAGAGAAATAGAGAAATACAGTTGCCAAGTTAATGTCCATTCAAATAATGGACTCAACTCCCTCCCTCTCTTCTCACAGTACACTCGCTGGCTCTTCCCTCTGAGAAATTTTGGGGGGAAAACCACTAAATTTTAATAAATAATACCTCAAACTAAAGTTAGGATAATACAATTGACATTGCTGGATTCCTTGTAAGACCAGGAATATTTTGAATATAAATGTCATATATTTTGCACAAAAGATAACATAGTTACCTAGAGAAAAATTTTTATCTAAAAATTGTATGTTTAATGCAAAATATATGATGTTTATATTCAAAATGATCACCAAATTATAAGAATTCCAGCAATGTAAATTATATTCTGACTGGGTAATTTGTATGAATTTTATGAGCTAAAACAAATATCTTCAGTTAATAAAAAAAAAAATAATCTTCACGACACTATCTGTCAATCAAAGTACCCCACCTTGCCTCCCCCCCTCTTCCAACCACGCGGTCAGTCCCAACCCTCCACCCCACCCCCCACCAATCCTCCCTTCCAGAGTTTTTAACATTTAGTATTAAATAATACCTCAGATTAAAGTTAGGATAATATAATTGACATTGCTGGATTCCTTGTAAGACCAGGAATATTTTGAATATAAATGTCATATATTTTGCACAAAAGATAACATAGTTACCTAGAGAAAAATTTTTATCTAAAAATTGTATGTTTAATGCAAAATATATGATGTTTATATTCAAAATGATCACCAAATTATAAGAATTCCAGCAATGTAAATTATATTCTGACCGGGTAATTTGTATGAATTTTATGAGCTAAAACAAATATCTTCAGTTAATAAAAAAAAAAATAATTCTTCACGGGTAACAGATGGTCGGTCGGTCCCTCCCTCCCCCCCACCCCCCACCAACCGTCCCAAGGAGATGTGTGGGATAACCACTAAATTTTAATAAATAATACCTCAAACTAAAGTTAGGATAATATAATTGACATTGCTGGATTCCTTGTAAGACCAGGAATATTTTGAATATAAATGTCATATATTTTGCACAAAAGATAACATAGTTACTCTGAGAAAAATTTTTATCTAAAAATTGTATGTCTAATGCAAAATATATGATGTTTATATTCAAAATGATCACCAAATTATAAGAATTCCAGCAATGTAAATTATATTCTGGCCGGGTAATTTGTATGAATTTTATGAGCTAAAACAGGCAGTCAGGCAGGGTGGCGGGTGGGGCAAATCTAAAAATAGCATCTCGAGCCGGACACTCACCGCGTATATGTGGAAAAAATCCGTGTTAAGTGAAAGTTCAGCTCTGGCGAGGCACCGCGTATATGATAAAACGCGTTAAGTGAAACCACGTTAGGCGGGGTAATACTGTAGTCAAATTTCTGTTCCACTAGACCTACTGTATACACTATATTTTTGGTTCAAGGTAAGAGTTCTTCCAAGCTTCTCATAATATAAAGATAACACACTCTAACAGGAAATGTAATTGAAACTACTCATACTATATTAACCAACACTTGCACCTAATTCAGTACAGCCTAAACAAATGTACAGTCTCCCCAAAAAGTATAGTTAGCCATTGGGTTGATGTGATTCGAGGCTTTCCGGAGCAATGTTACTTGAACTGTTTCTGAACGGTTGGTAGTTCTACATCTGCGACCTTTGAGCTTGAATGAGTATACAGTATACATTATTGAATGATGTGAATCCTCCAAGGCTTCAGATCATATACAGCTGCTCCCCGACTTACGACGGGGTTAGGGACCCAAATCCAGGTTGTAAGTCGAAAATGCTTAAATAATACATACAAAATCTAAAATGGTTGTCTCTTTTTCTTCTCAGCACCACAAAACTCTCACTTTTAAGCTTGCCAGCCATTTTAAAGTGAATTACAAAAGAAAATTTTGTCAGTACACAGCGCAATCACTGACGTTGGGACTTGAAAATACGTAATTTGACAAAATTTTGGTGCGACTGAGGCGGTCGTATGTCCGGGTGGTTGTAAGTCGAGTAGGTCGTAAGTCGGGGAGTAGCTGTATTATAAGAATTGGAGTGGATGTCGTAAATGGATACCAATGCCATGCCAGTCATCAATGGAATCGTACATCGAATGGAGTGAGGAATTATCGAGGAGACATAGCAAGATGTGAGAGGTGCTATCATTGCCCTTCACAAGGAGGGTATACGTAACGCTGGACTGGGGTGAACAAACCCACTGTAACACGATGAAACAACTGGTGCCACACTGAAGCTTACAACCACAAATGTCTTACCATTGGTGGACGGGGGGTTATTGCCTGCAAGTCTCTTGATCTGAAACCTTATTTCAGTCTTAAATCGATACAATTTACATATCAATAACATGGCAGATCCCATGTAGACTGATATATTGTATATTGCTGCAGCTGTTCACTCTATTATGAAGTACTATTTGCTTAGTCACTCTTCATAAATTAGAAATATCATGAACAACATGAGTAGGCATATTGTGAAACTCATTATGGATGAAACGCAGTTAAAACAACAATGTAATGATGAATGTCTGCTTTGAGGACTGTCTCAGTCTCAGTTATGATGTTCCAAAACATTTCCATTTAACGTATACTTCAGTGTTATTGTAATCATCAGTCAGTAACTTGTTTACATAAATAAAAATAATGGTTGCCCCTCGTGTAACGAGGATAACGGGCCCTAGGGCCACCTAGGCGTGAATTTGTTTAAGGTGTAGAAGCTGTCGCCAACACAACAACCACACCCTAAGTTAAGGAGTTGCATGACCCAGTGTCAAGGAATAGTCCGAGAAGACCGGACAACTCGCCAACTGCACTGGCTAACCATTACCCCGGAATACGATCCGCACACCGATTAATATCCAGGTCCCCAATTACTGCTTGCGAGGTGAGCATGCTGATCATTACACCACAGGCCGCCCTTGCTTCCACCCAGCACGATACATACATTAATACAGATTAATGGATTTCTTGTTACAGTATTTTGAAGTATCACGAATGCCATACAAGGATGACTCTCTCCCCCAATCCTACCCCCATCTCTAGCTGTTGTTGATATGGCAGGCAGGCATACCAAGTTATGATGATACACTGGGGATCACCATATATCAAAACATTTCATCTAGCGTTTCAAATTATAGCGACGGAAAATATAATGATACTTTTTTCGGGGACTGTACATAAGGACAATGTGAATTCTCTCAGATGGGGAAAAAAATAAATAAAAAATATCACTACTATTTATCATTAGGTTCAATAACACAATCCTTTCAACACTGACCTAGATCACAAACCCAAACATTTGATAATCTGGTATATTAAAAACTTTAGGAAACATATGAGCATATCTTTTTTTCATCATGTAGTGTCCAAAGTTAATAGGTTGCCAGCTTAGAGTTCATTTGGATTTATCAAAACCCAATTTGTTTGACTTCTTTATGGCTTACTGAAGAAAACATGGAGGATTGGGATATGGCTCCTAGCTTCAGGATGTATTATTATCATTATTATAAGACACATTCTGGTAAATGTTAGAACAGTCAGTAAGAAGTGAGAGAGAAAATTCATGGACAATATTTTGTTATGGCTTCATACCTTATAATCTTAGAGAATAATAAATGGAATTTGCCAATAAATTCTTATGATGTAGTACAGTCAGGGTCAACAGTTTGTGTGAAGCAGTAAAACTGAGTCATGGGAATGAGTCTCCAAACTTACATACCCTCACTGTCATCTGGCGCAGGTGTGCCGTTTTATCTCGTTTGGGGCCGAACTGCTTCACACCAACTTTTGACCCTGACTACAGCTGATCATTGTGTATATTTCATTATATGAATATCTGAGTTATGTTCAAGTGATGAAACTGACAATACACATTCTATATTTTTTCACTACTGCAAGCCCTTTTCCACTGTAGTGACGGGTTCATCACTACAGACTGACTACCTGTTCTGCATGCTGAAGGGGAATTTAATCTGAGTAACATTAAGGAATAATTTGTTATATTGATGCTATATATATTACTCCAGGGAAAGAAGCTTTTCAAATTTTTATATATAATTATTTCCCTACAATGAAGAAAGAAAAGCAAACACAAATATACAATTTCACATTTGCTACACATTCAGGAAATCTTGTCATAAAATGTAATACAACACATCCTTAACACAAAAACTGTTTCTAACCTCCATATTTGTTCCACTGGTGTTTTTAACATGCAACAAGGTAAGATTTATGATGGTCTGAGCTGTTGTGAAAATGTCTGTCTCCATTTCCTCACCATCACGTAAACACAACAGTGATTGCACTAGTTCCTCTGTGTCCTGAAAAAAAAAAAATCATATTCAACAACATTTGGAAACATGTCCAACATTTACACTTAATGTGAAACGTGTTTTGATTTGTTCCCCAGTCTCAAGTCCTTGTAAAACTGGCAGCTTCCCTAGATCTCTTGTAGAAGTTATGCATTGTATTGTACTAAAGATGGACAGGCAATTATTAGATGGTTTGTGGAGTACAGGGTTGACTTGCAGTTTGGACAACAAGAATTTTGGGTTAATCAGATTTTTTGTCTATACAGTGTGGATGAGGGAGAAGTGGCTGTGTTTCAGTCTGAATAAGGAATGTCTTGTCTCTTTAAGGGATTTGACCAGTCTGTTCAATGAGGAAACTTTTTATTTGGTTGTGGATATTAATTGGTGACGGATGTGACTGAGTGGGTTGGGTAGGTTGTTCAAAACACCAGAATATTGTGTCTTTGTAGAGGACTGTGGATGAGTATGTAGTTGTTGCAAGGAAGCTGGTTTATTTGAAGAAAAAAATTAAATAAAAACATACAAATAAATGTGATGTTTCTTAGTAGAGTACTGCACAAAAAAAAAGTTCAGGTTAATAGTTCTTTGCACTAACCATATAAAAGTGATATAAAATAGATTACTTTCTGTGTGTCATCACAAGCTCTACTCTACATATCACTCAGGTAATCTCCTCCACTCCTGACATGTACTATATCAGGTTCAGCAGTATCACTCCCAGTCTCACCTCCTCCTTCCTCACTACTTTTCCCCCCTTACCTTATCACTAATCAACCCACCACAACCTAAATAGGGTAATTCTACCTCTCGCCCATGTTACATTTAGCAACTGTATGAATTAACCACAGCAATCATCATCCATTTCATTCATGTCTATATGTCTTATCTGAAAAACCAATGATCAAGGTAAATGAAAACAGAAAAAATTAAGAAATTGATATAAATATCAAATGAAGAAAAACCTGTGTTCATTAATGGATTACAAACAATAATAAGGATAAAATATTTCATCCCACTCTCTTAATAATTGGGAAGGTAAAATGATGTGCAAATATACCTCGGGATTTGATACTGTATTTAGAACTTGTGACTCGAGTGCCTGACTCTTCCGTGCACGTTCCGATGCTTGTGCAGCTCGTCGCTCAGTTGCCTGAACCCTTTCTTCCTCTTCTGCACGTTGTTCCTGGTGAGAAAAAAAAAATTAATTTAACAATCGTGAATTCGACACACAACCACCATTTCTCTCAACTCCACCCAACAACGTCAGCTAGAGAAGGTACAGAAAAGGGCCTGCAGAATCATGCTCGGCGCAGAATACTCCGGCTACACCAACGCTCTCTCCACCCTGGAAATGCCATCCCTCAGTGACCTCCACCACCAAGCACTGGAAAGGTTTGGCAGTGGACTACTGCACCACCCTCGTCATCGCCACCTCCTGCCATCTGCAGCCCCCCACCCAACTCGCGCAGTCCGCCACTACAACAAAATTCAGCCCATAAGAGCCCGCACCGATAGATATAAGAACAGCACCATCCCATCTATTGTTAAAATAATAAACAACTCCTGATTTATGTACTGTACAGCCCTGTAAATGTATTCAACACATATTATATCATTATGTCTAAATCAAATATAAGTCTGTATATTTTCAGCCACCGGCTGCAACTCTATTAATAAACCGTTTATTATTATTATTAATAAACAAATTGCATTTAATATATTGGCAGAAATCTGCTTATTTAATCAGGTGATGATAACATTAACCATTCAATCCCAAAATTTACCAAGTGTCTGTATAAAATTACCTTGACATGCCCCAGTGACTGAAATAAACAAGGACCTTTCTTAAGGCAACATATGCCTTAATAGACCCTAAAATAACAGGAGAACTTTCTTTTGGGCCACAAGACATGTTAAATTTCACATTCTTGACACTCAGAAGCTTATGTTATGGTTCAGAATAGATTTCCTTTTAAACCAAAACAACTTTGACCTTCAGCTCGGTAGTCACAAAATCAACTGGAAACTTCCATCCCCGAGTGGCAAAGAATCTATACAACGTCATAGTACTGGTACAGGATATGGAATAATGTTAAACGTAGTTCATACACTAATATTTGTTTTAGTGTAAAGCTGACATCTAGGAACTCTGAAAAAAAGAGGGCATTTCATCTCCTTTGGAGGAATGTATAAATGTACCATGGAAGCTCATTACTTCTTGAAAAACAACTATGTTTTTAACAACAATGACCTTTAACTTTGATTCAAGGCCCCTTAAATCAAAAGGGCACTTTATATAGGGGCAGGAGACCCAGGTAACACCATGCTTGTAAATTTAGGGAAACTCATGTTACTAGAGCAAAACTCTTCTAGTTATAGTTCACAATAAGCAAAAGTTTACACCAATTAAAGACAATTCCAAACTATATGAATGCTACAATAATTATTCACAATTTATAAGAGATTGTAATTCTGTACTTCATGAATTTCATGCTACGTATATTAAAAAATAAAATAAAAATATATTTATAACACAGGATACTAGTAAAAAAAAAAAGGGGGGGGGGTTGAGGAATTGAAACTACAAACCCTATTATAATTACATATGGATTGAACATTTCATAATAATAATAATAGTAGCAGCTGGTCTTTTCTTTCTTAAAAGTACCAGTTCTTCTAAAGAATCCACCAGCACTCAAAACTACAAAGTCAAAGACTCAAGAATAAAAAGAAATACAGTACAGTAAAGCCTCGAATAATGACGGTAATGTGTCCTCCAATATTGCAGTGTGAGGTGAATCATCGTATCATGAATCATTAATTACAATTAAAATAAAGCAATAAAATTAATGAAAATTGCAAATTATATTCTTTAATGTTTATGAATGCACTTTATACTACAATATAAGCCAATAATAATAATATGGTCACACAAGAGATGGGATGCCATTGTTGTTGTCAGTGTTTACACCCATGATGTCAGTTATCCATCTGAAACCGGAGAAAATAAGACCCTGGTTGTTGCTGTAGTAAAATTAATGTAAAATAATATGTATGTTTTAATTAATGTTATTTAGTGTATATACAGTAGAAGTAACCACTGATGGTAAAGAAAAAAGTGAGAAACTGATAGTGGAACGCCAACGTATACGTGCGCACTCAAGGACACACAGCGTCATTTAGCTTATTAAGAACATGTAAAAAAAGATTCATTATTGTTTATTACTGAACATGTATTTGATTGAATTAATGTTTATACAGTACACCCGGATAATTCGCGTACCCTTTAGCCCTGTTCAAGGAGAGGACTGGGAGAAGCTGTTTGGTGCTGCAGACAATGACAAGGAAAATGATTTTGATGGATTTTAATGAAAATATTCAAAATTATGGTATCGTAGTATTTATTCAAGTCAATTAGGATAGAATATTATTGTAATACAACAGTTTTTTAACTGAAAACCATTCGAAAAGCGATTACAGTAACACCTTTTGAACGAAAGAAAGCGAAAGTCATTGTTTTCGTCACGATTTTATCCCACTTTCCACTGTAATACGTACGTCATTTCAGCAAAAATATTACATTTCCGTGAATGCATTATATCAAGCACAGTATGAATAGAATACCATTGTAATATAACAATATTTTAACCAATAACTATTAAAAAAACGAGTAACTTCTCTTGAACATCGGAAGGTTAGGTGAAATCTTTTTTTTTCGTCATGTATTTTATCCTATTTTACATTAAAATACATCACGTTTCAGCAAAACTACTATTTATTTCCGAGAATATTTTCATTCAGGCACAGTTAAGGTAAAATATACATGTGATGTAACAGTTTTTTAACTGAAAACGATTCGAAAAACACGTGTACCGTCTAGCTGATACGCAACAGCTGGTGGTGCGTCATGCGTCGTTGTAAACAATAGGAGGTTGAAGTAGATTACCGGGTATTATATTAAGTGTGAAATATCGAAAAGGTTTTTATTACCGGTATTTTTTGTAGATCAATGAGAACTGTGAAACCGTATATGATACGATAAGTTAGTCTGTGCTAAGAACTTCAACATAGACTACTGAAAACACGTTGTAAGGTAATTTAGCCTATTGTAAGTTGGTGAGCTTCATTTGCTGAAGGAACTGCACAACTTTTCATTACTAATTGGTACATATTTTATGTTTCCATTGTTTACTGGCAGTAAATGGTAAATATTTTTCATGTCTGAAGCTAAAAGTTGCTCCTCGCCCTTCCCATCATGCACGGGTTCAACCTAACAAAACTATTACTCATGTATAGGACGACCCCCAATTTTTTGCCTAAAAATTTGGTCTTAAAAACTCGAACTATACACGAGTATATACGGTACTTACGAATGTAAAAAAAAAATTCTACTCACCAATGGTGGTAAAGTCAAAAACATAAGGACAGCCAATGATGTTGTGCGAGTTTTTACTCAGATGACAAAGTTCCTATGTCATAAGGTTCAACTCTGGCTGAAGCTGTAGCTTTCCATAAAGATACCATAGCTGTTGCTGAACCTGAAGCTGTTGCTGAAACTATAGTTATTGTTGAAGCTGCTGCTGAATTTGATGGTGTAGCTATACCTGAAGTTGATGGTGTAGCTTCAGTTGATGGTGTAGGCCTTTGAATACTAAAACTGTCAAAAGAACCTTGCACAGCTGCTTTCTTTATGTCGGGGTCATATGCATTTTTCACATCCTTGTTAATTTTAATGCTTCATTCTGTTAGTGGATCCACTTCAGAAAATATGTTCATTGCTTGCTCCACATAATATCCACAGACCTCTCACCTTTTTCATATCGTTTTAACACATCTAGTTTCTCAGCTAAGCTTAGGCACTTTCTTTTAGCTTTTGAACCAGCACTACCATCTCTTGCTCATGTTGCACTGGTACGCAAAAATACCATTAGAAATGTGAAAGTTTTTCTCCTTTTCCTGTTCAGATGCGTGAAAACAAAAGACTTGCCAAGCTGCGACTGTTATACTAGTGATGCTGGCGTCACCACTCACAAGCCCGGTAGCTTTCGCGCGCAAGGCGTGTTTATTTATTTGAATAATACATATCAGGATTTAGTTATTATTTATATGAAAATGTAATTTTATTTTATTTCTTATTCTATTTTTGTCATAAATACGAAGAAATAATGGTGTAAATTTAATTGGATCCTAAATTAACCAGGGTCTTAAATATGAATTGTCGTTAGTAGAGCCGTCGTTATCAGAAGCTTTCCTGTACTGTATTACAATGAAAGATCACAAAAAAGACAGTTTGACTTCTTCATTCATATACCCTTTAATTTTAATACATCCTACACCCTGTAATTCTCCATCACTGTACCCTGTTCAGGATCATAAGCTTTCAAAAATTCTTAAGTTGTTTCTTAAAGGCCTTTGTTAACTAGTCTACAGGTTGACACTCTAGGGTTCCCATGACTCCTTCCTCACATGATTACCACCATATTCCAGAAGAGAGAGAAATACTGACCTTAACTTTTTGCTGTGCAGTTACAATATGGCTCTTTTTGACTAATTGCTGTGCTCTTGACATAGTGGGTTTGGCTGCAGGTGCAGGATCAGCTGGAGGTTGTGTTATGTCAACTAGATCTAATGGGCCTATCTCCCCAGTAGCCAAAGGTCGTGGGATCTGGGGTCGATATCTTTTTTGGAGACGTTCTTGCATGGCTTTTCGTTCTATCCTGTTCACCCTCCTGGACAAAAAATGGAATTTACATTATACACAAAGTACATCATAAACACACTACTGTATAGTCAACAGGGTTATATTTAATAAACTGGTGTGGTGACTCACACATAAGTTATGAAGGTCTATATGATCTAGTTAAAGTCACCTGATTTTTTTTTTTTTTTTTACGGGGAGTAGCCCACCCGGGCACAAGTCATCGACCCACAACGGGGCCTGGGGGGTAAAAAATAAGAGTAAAAAGAAATTAAAAATAGAAAAGAAAAAGAGTATATTAATCTACACCACGAAGATGCTGGAAAACCAGCCTTTTAAAGTGAGACAGATTGTATAAGTATGGAAACACAGAAGAAGGCAGAGCATTCCACAGTTTGGCTGTGTGAGGAAAGAATGATGTACAGTGATCCCTCGGTTAACGAATTACCTTCCATAAGATTCTTCACTTTGGTTAACGAGCAAACCCTCGGTTAACGAATTCCTTACAAATTTTTCCCAACATGCTTTCGCCTGCATTTGGCTGCCCACCAGCTGTAGTATTAGTCCACCAATACAGTAATCGGTTTTAGGGCTTAAATTCCTTACCATTTTAGTACATATCAAGAAGGTTGTACTATTCAATAATTTAAAAAATTTTATATTAAATTTTTTAGTCATTTTAACAATTATTGAACATACAATAATTGAAGTACAGGGAACTAGTTTTTTGCGCGCTAAACAGCCACTCAACACAACAAGCTTGGTGTCAGTTTGTTTACCAGTTCCGAGGAAGGAACATCTTGTTTGAGACTCTTCAACATTAACGCTTTTTTTTCTGTGTTTCCAGTCAAATTATTGGTCATTTTGAAATATATTTTACATATTGACAATATATAATGCAGTGCAGTGTTGATTTAAAGAAAATAATCTTGAATTACACCAAGTGAACTAAAATTTTATGGGTGAAATGGCAGCATGGGGTGACTTCTCTTTCACCCCAATGACTTTTCTTCTACCCCTTCTCCTCCACCCCCATTCTAATTCCCATCAACATCATCATCAACCAGGAGCCTTCTACATGCACACCTCAAAGTAAGTGTACTTTATTGCATTTATTTTTAGTTTGTATGTAATTTTCGGTGAGCTGGAACCAATTACCCAAAAACCCATTGAAACAATGGTTTCGGTTAACGAGCAACCTTCTGGAACGAATTGTGCTCGTTAACCGAGGGACCACTGTACTATAACGGATTATTCTAGTGTGACCAACATCCACAGAGAAACAGTGGGCAACGCGGGTAAGATGTGTGTTACGAGCCCACGGCCTTGCCGGCAGTACACAGGATGCCAAATCCACTAACATTGACCGTTAAAGTACCTGTAAAAGAGAGAGAGTGAAGCAACATTGCGACGAAGAGAAAGGGAAGAGAGATTGTCGACTAAAGGAGGAGAGATAATAAGACGAAATGCCTTTGATTCCACCCTATCTAACAGTCGGACAGAAGAAGAGCCACCACAGGTATGAGAGCAGTACTCCAAGTTAGGATGAATGAATCCCTTATATACTTGAAGCAACTGCTCAGGAGTGAAGTAGCTACAGCATTTGTACAGCATTCCCAGCTTTCGGGAGGCAGCTTTAGCAATGTTCAGGATGTGTGGCTTCCATGACATATTAGAGGAAATGGTGAGGCCTAGCATATCTATTTTAGAATTTGGCAGAATGATAGCAACCTGAAATGTGATTGGTGGGAGATCATCTAATTTGGAAAGTGTAATTGGTAAATACTGAATTTTATTACTATTGAATTTAACCAAGTTTCTACCTCCCCATTCGGAGATGCTGCACAGATCCGCATTGAGAGATGTAATGATATCAGCTCCAGAAACAGATCTAGTTTGACAATTAGAAGGAAGGGGAAAATGTGAAGAAGAGTGAAGAGTAGAATCATCAGCATAAGAATGGATAGAATTAGTTGTAGTGTGAAGTAAATCATTGATAAAAAGAAGGAAGAGAGTAGGTGAAAGAAAAGAACCCTGTGGGACACCACTATTGGTAGAGAAAGAGGGATAGATCGATCCCTCGACAACAACTGCCACAGATTGGTTCTCAAGGAAGCTAGAGATTAGAGAACAAAGTGGGGGAGAGAAACCATAAGAGGGAAGTTTAGAGAGCGAAGACTTGTGCCATACCATGTCAAGTGCTTTGGAGATTATGAGGGCCACGACGAAACTTTCCCCATAATCCCTTAGAGAGGATGACCAAGGATGGGTGCAATAGGAGAGCAGATCACCAGTAGATTTCGCTTGGTGAAAGCCATATTGGTGATCCGACAAAAGAGAATGGCGTTCAAGGTGATGGAGAAAATGGGAGTTCAAGATAGCTTAGAAAATCTAACAGGGATGAAGTTAGGGCAATGGGGTGATAGTTAGAGGGGTTAGAATGGTCACTCTATTTTGGTGATGGGCTGAACCGAGGCATGCTTCCAAGAAAAAGGAAAATTTGGGTTCTGAGGCAAAGGCGAAAGAGGCGAGCAAGTACAGGGTCCAGAACTTCAGCACACTCCCTGAGAACACGAAGGGGAATTTCATCCGGTCCAAGCGCCTTACTCACATCCAACCTGGATAACACACCAGCAACCCTACGAGTGGAGATTATAGGAAAGTGCATAGGTTCAGTAGGAGCAGCAGGGGTAGGAGGGATAGAGTTGGAATCATCGAAGGTGGAGTTAGAGAAGAATAAGGTGCCAAAGAGATTGGCTTTAACAGGGGGAGAGTTGGCTATAGAGTTATCAGGTCGGAAAAGAAGGAGTGCAGAAGTTATTACAGATGGTTAAGGACCAGTTTAGAGGGGGTGGGGGAGGCGGTCGTGCCCAGTTTGATTTAATAGAAATAAGGTTGTGATCAAAAGACCCCAAGGGGGCAGAAATTGAGTTAGAATAGTGTGAGGCATTAGAGGTAAAACAAAGATCGAGAATGTTAGTAAGTTGATCGTTTCGATCAGGAATGCTTGTAGGGTGTTTATTTGTTCCAAATCTTTCAGTAAGGAAAAAGAGCGCACCTTGGCTCCACCTGGGTCATCCCTTGCAGAGACAAGCCACTTTCTGTGATGTATATTAAAATCCCCAAGGTAGAGGATCTCAGTATTGGGGTGTGAGGACAGCAACGACCCATAGCAAGAAGTGAGATAGTCAGAGTTCCAAATAGTTGGCAGAGTTGGGAGAACAGTATAGGAAAAAAAAAAAAAAACAGTCATAGTTGGAAGAGATATTTTGAGTCAGATGACATCATAAAGGGAAGATTCAAGATCCGTGAGTTGAACTATAGGTGTACATAAGTGTGTTGCAGTTGGCACATACACCTCCCTTAGAACGGAAAGAGGTATAAAGGATGTAGTGGAGATTTGAAAAGGTTTGGGTGAAGCTGCTTTGGTCAGTTGAAGTTCGGATAGTAGTAAGAGGTCGAGGGAAGAGGTTAATAGATGGTGCTCCACAGAAGGAAAATTGGATCTCAGGCCGCGAATGTTGGAATAATGAAGTGTGAAAAAAGCCGATCCTCCAGCAACCGCGGTGGCGTCAGTTGAGGCCCCAGTAGTTTGATGATCATCAGGTTGGCCCTGGGGTCCACAGCTTTCCCGACCAGTAGGATCCATCCGAAAAGGCCCCGCTTCAATATTATTGTCAACTGATACCATAGGAGAATAAAAGAACAGAAAGAATAGAACAGATCAAGAGTGAGTACGATTATATATGTTGTGTTGTCAATAATAAGCGAGACAATTGAGACCCTGCAATTGTGTATAAATGAGGCAGAAAGACAGATTAGCAACCTGGGATTTGGTGAAAAAAATTTTGATGCCATATGGCAGCAGGGTCTACCATTAGACAACAAATTATGCTTCCAATATCTTCCCAGGCGGTAGTACCTCCCTGTTTGGTAGCTGCCTACTACCTACTACAGAATCAATTTAAGGAGAAAAAAAAAAGGTACAAAAGAGTTGGAGAGTGAGAGAGATACAAAAAGATATGAGGGTGAAGGAATACTGAAGTGGTGAAAAGGAAGAAAAGATCAGACATGAAATATTAGTCGCGAGAGAACAGAAAATTAATGAAAGAAACAAAAGGTAACCAAATGTTGGAGTTCAATATTCTTTACCATCCAAGAATCACCATGTTCTTACTTTTTTCTGATCTGCTTTATGGAGTCACTACATGCATCAAGAGGTTTAAACCACCGCTCTGTCTGATTTGCAGAAAACCTCTTTGTGGTGGTACTTGGCTCCCCACTGGTGTGAGGTGGAGCACCCTGTGGAAAAGTGCGTGTTGAAACAGGAATAAATTTTATATTATATATAAAAATAATAAATAAAAAATTTACAGTAGTTTCACTCTCTTCCATTTGCTTTCTCATATAACACAAGGTGACTGGAATCAAGACCAACACAGACTATATCATTATTCATAGTCAATCATTCATTCTGACCATTGTAACAAATATATGTTCTGCTATGATGTTCCCTTTACAAAACACAGCCCCAAGACTTTCATTTGGTTTGCCCACTGTTTCATACAACCTAGTTCAAAATCTGTCTGTTTCCCATAAACCACCTAATACAATGCTCTCTGTATATGTTCACCACTGTTTACTGGATATCCATCACCTTCCTACCTAATACCTCACTCACATCATAATTCCATCATTTTTTTTTCAGAGGTGTGAAGTCTTCTTTCATCCATCTCTGAATTATACTTTTTTATTCAATCTTTATTCCATTTTCCCTGAATATGTCCCTATCACCCAGGCAAATCTGATTGGCCCACTATCTGAAGTCCTCTCAATTCTGAATTTCCTTCCTGCTATTGTATTTCATATTCTCTGCACCCAATTCACCTCACGTACTGCTTTCATGCATATAATTTTTCACTTCTAATTTACTTCCTTCTTCATACAAAAATTTTACCCCAATTATTTCCCCACAAGTCCCCATTCTCACTTTCCCATGTATACTGTATCTATAGTAAAACTTTCTTTCCTGCAGATACTCTATAATTCAATAACCATTGTTACATTCACTGACATATCCACTCTCAGAAACATGACACATTTCACTTGCTTCTGTGTCTCCATACAAGGTTGAATAGCATATCAGATCATTAATACAAATATATTGCATATGCACCAGGGTGGGCTAAAAAAATAAATCATACATAATTTTGTTTCCCTGATCCAGCCCATACTAAAAGTGGAAAACCAATAAAGAAAAAATTAAGATTCTTAAAGAAACAAACAATTGGTAGCAAATATAAAAACAGAAGCATTATTTTCCTATTTTGTTATTTAAAGCCATTATGAACAAATGATGACTATAAACAATTTAGCCAGAACAAGACATGAATAGGTGTGGGAAATAGGAAAAGGTAGCACATACAATAAAGATGACGGGTGCTAAATGACAGATTGAAGACAGAACCGAATGTCTCTTAACAAAACATCCAGAGTGTGTGTGTGTAAGATATATGGCTCACTGATGGTGAAATTAGTCTTCAATTTGGGATCACATTTTTACACTTATGGTAATGGACAAGTGTGAACTTTTCTTATGCTGTTCATGCACAAACTATTGCCAGTCAAATTGATTGAACAATGGATTCTGTGCACAGTTTACATAAGTTGTGACTGTGATACTGTTGTACATGTGAGGCCCATCTGATGATGATGGAATGTTGTAAAATCATGATGTCTTAAAGTACTGTTGTTACTATTTGATATTAACCTGATATTCATGGGTATGTATTAAATTAAAAATCCTTTAAAATGTAAAATGTGTTGCACATTTTACATTTTCAGGGGCATTTTTTTTTTTACGGTGATTAGCCCACCCGGGTGCAGGTCACTGACCAACTTCGGGGCCTGGGGGGCAAAAATGTTGTAATAATAATAATAATAATAATAATAATAATAATAATAATAATAATAATAATAATAATAATAATAATAATAACGATGATAATTATAATAATGATAATGATAATAATAATGATAATGATAATAATAATAATAATAATAATAATAATAATAATAATAATAAAGGACCATCATTAAAAAAGAAAGAAAAAAGATCAAGAGTGAGAAACAATCCATATATTTTTGTGTTGTCAAAGTAAGAGAAACAATTGAGACCCTGCAATTGTGTAAATAAGGCAGAAAGTCAGATCAGCAACCTGGGACTTGGTCACAATTTTTGTGGTGCCATATGGCAGCAGAGTCTACCATTAGCCGACACATTATGCTTCCAATATCTTCCCAGGCGGTAGTACCTCCCTGTTTGACAGCTGCCTACTACTTGTAATTATCTTTCTGATCACTCTGTTCTTGCTGGTCTTATGTGGTTACTTTTCTAAAACAGTGAATCCTGAATCTGGTTGAATCAAATTTCCTCTTGATAGTTTGTTTGCACATCCACCTCATTACTGTACTTTTATATTACAGTATACATTACCGTATATAATTAACAGATCCAATCTAAAGCAGTGATCGTGTATTATTATTGACAACAATATTGTATGTGGACCTCCAAGTTCTTCAATTGATTCATAAAGTAAAATTTCACTGATCACAAAAACTATTTTCCAAATTATTAATCTGTTTTCTGTGCGTTAATTGAGCTATTACATAAAAGAATTGGTAAAAAAGATTCAGGTGTTCCATTAAGCACCTTTAATACATGAAGGTTAGAATCTTTTCAGGGAGATTATAATGAGCCTTTCCCCTCAAGAGATAATACAGCACACCATCAAAAGAGGTAAAGATAAATTAAGAAGCAGGTAAACACTCTTATGGTGTGCAGTGGTTAATGGACAGGCAGACAAGGGTATTACTGTACTTAGTGGGTGCTGACCCATTAAGCTGATGTGACACCAGAAGGTCTGTGGGTATTGGCAATAGTTTTCTTTTTTAACTCTTCTGCTCTGATGGTTCTTGACAGCTACTCAAGCAACCTTATGAGCTACCACTTACCATTCTCAAAACAGAGAAATTAAATTCACAAATAAAAATATAATTCCCTGAAAAGTGATAATGCCATGGAAAAGTACACTAATGCAGTATGGATTGCTATAAATGGTTGATAAATAGAACTCAGAAGTTAGTCAAACTGATACAATTTTAGCAGGAAAACAAGAGCACTTTAAGCCCAAGTATACTGGAAGACTGGGAGACAACTTTTGAACTAGTCATAAATTAGAAATATTGTATAATGGTTGACAGATATCCAGCCATATATAGATAATTAAGCAGTACCTAACATACACATATTGGTAAGTATTTCAATCTCCCTTTTCATGATTTCAAAATATATGTACAAGACAAGACTGGGTAACATACTACAGCAACAATTATAACATCCAGTTATAATCTCAAGTTACAGGTTTACTTTATTTAAAAATATCTTGGATAAATATAAAATTTGTCCTCTTACATTTAAACATTTTTCCACTGTTTGTGCCACGAATTTGAGAAGATGAGGATCTGTATATCGAGACTCTTTATTGCTGGCTTGGTTGCTTAATGGTGGAGTGACCAGTCCTGAAGCAGACATCACAGCCAAGCACCCAACACCTCCAGCCCATGGACATAACACTGCTATGCCACCACAACTCAACTTTAAAACCTGAAAAACAACAGTTCTTTAAATACAATTCAGTCTTTTATATTTCTAAATACAGAACAAATTTGCTTCATTGTTTTCTGTATCAGCATCAAAGTTGGAAGTGTGTCAGGAAAATGAAACTAATTCCCAAACAAAAAAGGACCCTGGCAAAAATGTGTGATGATAACTAGAGTAATACTGTATAAGAATGATTGAGAACTGGGGAGATGGGATGCAAATGGACAGGGCACCAAAGCTGCAGATGACACTGTTTGGTGGGAAAAGCTACAAAATGTTGATTGAGTTTAAAATCATGTGTGCTAACAAAGTTGGTGAAAGTGAAAAATGACAAATGTAAAGAGAGCGATAATACCAAGAACAAGATGGAAGGATAATGTAACATACACAAAACAAGTGAGAGGGTGATGTTTGTTTGTTCTGGAAGGGAAGTGCCCAAGCCAAATACACATTTTACTGGTATAAGAATGAATAGATGACAACAAATAAATGGATTTAATCATGTTTTTTGCCAGCTTGCAAAATGTGGGAAAAGGTTTGACTGATGTATTTGTCAATTGAGCCTAACTTTTATATTAGTACAGCACTACTAGTTTATATTAAACAGTACTCCTGTATGATAAATCAGAGATTTTATTTAATACACCATTGACTATCAGAACATAACTAACCTACTTTAGTGTATACCTTACTAGGTGAGGGTAGTGACAATGCTATTGATCTAAAGCTCGTACAACATTATGATCATCAACATGCGTGTCCTTATAAACAGATTTGTTTGATATAAAGAAAATAAAAATGATCACTTATGTAATCATTCCTATTTAGCATGACACACACATACTGTAGGTATATTTTTAACATTTATTATTTAACTTATTTTAACTGACCAGCCTTTAGGGTACAATACCAAGACAACAGTATAAGGCCAAAAATGCAAACAAACAAAAGATAGAAAGTTGTGCCATCTCACCATGGATAACTGATATTTGGCCAGCACATGAACCAGTGTTGTGAAGGTGGTGTTGGGGGCGTGGCACACATACAAGTGGCCCATGCCCCCAGCTATAGCTAATATGCTCACAGCACTGCTGCGGACTACACCCACCACCACAGCATTGCCCCATTCTCGTGAACAACTGAAACAAAAAATATTATTAAATTTAGCAAGGAAAAATGGTAAAAGCATAACTGTAATGTACATTTCATACATTTACAAAGAAGCATGAAGCTTAGCTACCAGAAGCTTGACAATGAAATGACCTTTAAAGATTATGTTCAATTATAAGAACAGTACATCATTGTAAGGGGAAGAAAGGCAGTGCTACTTCAAACTGTATCTTGAAAACTTTAACATTGATATGATCAATATAATATACATCAATTAAAAACCTGGTGTGGGACAAGGAAAATGTTAATGTGCTCTAAGAGTTATTATATTCTAAATCTCCATTAGAAAGATAGCTCTTCACCTGGTAGTGTGATATAACAAAACATCCAGGAACAAAGCTCCATCTCTTAGTCATGCTTCCTTCACTACCACACTACCATCTGTCCACTGTGAACAATGTTATGTTCTTCACCTGTTTACTACCACTTTAGCATTACCCTTTCAAGTTCACTTAAGTTAATATGAAATAAATTTACATCATTGCAACGCTTAACTTCTACTTCATGAGTTTTATATACAATATAAACTCACCTTCCATGAACAGCTAAAACTTCCAGTTGAGCCTTCAAGTAAGATATGCCATCAGAGTCCTCCCATATTAAGGCTGGGCCAGGCTGCGGCCTTCGTGGTCGCCCACTTTTTGCCTTCTTCCACCATGAAACTTGTACACCGAGTCCTGCAATGTATGCTGCAGGAGGAGGAAACACACAACTTGGGGCAGAAATTTCCTCATCTTTGGCAATTTTTGAGACGACAGTCTGAACAATATTACATATTGGATGCAGCCCCCCACTTAGCTTAGCTAAACCACCTTGGATGGCACTTGTAACTTGAGCATCAATGACATCTCCGTTTGACAACAGGCAATCACGCAAATTTACAAAATTGAGGCAGATTCGTTTATCCTCTTGAAAACTTTTTACCATAGAAGGATCAACAATGCTTGCCATAAAGTCATCACCAGTAATATGCAAATCACTTGCCTCTATTCCTTTACAACCACAAAATTCCTTAGCATCATTCAAATTATTAGGAACATTGGTCCATACAATGACAGTATTGTAAAGGCCGACATCCTCAGGGATAAGCTTGTTGTGGCCTGCCTTAACTTTACGCCGAGTTGTCTTGACAGGGGAAGTGATGTCTGGTGTATCCCAATTATAGTCAAGCAACACTTCCTGGAGACACTTTTTGAGGATGTAACAGTGAGGTCTGTACGAGTCTGACGTATGGTGGCTGGCTGCACTAGGTTCACTACCAGTTTCTTTTCTGTCAAATGCTTTACAATATCTATCAGTAAGATCATTTTCAAAATCTTCGAAGGACTTTTTGTTAAAATCAATAAAATCTTTCCTGCTCGTATCAGGTTTGAAGTTAAGAGAGTCATAATATTTACAGGCCCATCTAACAACTTCAAGTCCCTTCTCGGTTTGCGCGCCAAATTCTGTCAACAATTTCAAAGATCCTAATTTCAATTTGGCTACATTCTGTTCCAGTTCACTTTCATTCTTGCAGGTTTCAGCAAAACTATTCACATCAAACAAAAGTACCACTTGAACAGAGGAAAACATGCCAAAAGTGTAATAAAACGCTTGATTTTAGCTATTTAAATGTCTGGCGTCTAGTGAACATCTTCCTCTGAACTGTCTCCGCGGCAAGGCATACGACACTCTGTACCTGCACCATCTGTACCAACCACTGATAAATTTAAATGAAACGTACTGTAATTATACTAACTTTGTTTACTAAAAATATTTTTTTTAATATTTAGTTGTTAAATTAGGCTAAAATTTACATTATTTGCTATGTATCGTGTTTGTATGATGCATGCATTTAGGAATTCAATAAGTGAAAATAGTGGGTTCATCATACATATACAGTAGCTTTATTAGATTTTTAATGAGTTACAAGCATTCTATAGAATATTTATATTAACCGAGGCACATGTTCTTTATATTAATTTTATACGTGTCACGATAAAATGTAGAAGGAAGTGTCATCAGTCTTGTTTATATTGTTAGTAATAAATGGTTCTGTTGTAACACATTAATATAAGACATCAGGACGGTGAGAGTTTACCAAATTATTTGATCATTAAGTTTATTTCACACTTTGGATTTATATTTTTTTTGTAAAATATGTGACCAACTATCTCAATAGTTTGACACAAAAAACATTCCCCCAAAAATTATTCAATGTAAATTATGTTTTAATAATGCATCTGGGTTATCTTAAAGCTGCAGTAAAGGTTTATCTAAATGTATTTCTATTTTAATTAATTAAATTCGAAAAATACAGACAAATGTTCAACTATCAGGTACAGTTGCCAAAAATTATTTATACAAAATCTATCTTTGCGTTTTAAATAGGTTTTTGGTGAGTAAATGAGAAATATTTCTTAAGCTGATAAAGCACAAGAACTTTATCTATGAACAGTTATCTTATATATATTTGTCATCCTCAAAACTATTCGCTGGCATATACAGCACAAGTGGCACAGTGAGCGTGACAGATAATATAAATAATGAGGCTCAACCCTACACACTCCTACTGGGTGAGAAGACGTCATGGTGAACGGTGACCCAGGTGACCCCGTGGACTTTGTGTTACTGTATGCCTCTCAAACTGGGAATGCAAAGGCTATAGCCGAGGATCTGTTAGAAAAAAGTGAATCACATGACCTGTCTGGTGAATTGAAATGCTGCAGTGAGTTAGAGAAAAGTTTCAAGTTAGAGAATGTCACATGTTTAGTGCTGGTTGGCTCAACTACAGGTGAAGTATTAACTGGTTTATTATATTTTTTTGGTAAAGTTGTAGATAACGGCTACCACCAGAAGTTGTTTTGGTAAAGGTGTAGAAGAGGGTGACCACCAGAAGGAATTGTCCGAATTGGTTGAAATTTTTTCTGCACACTAATATGATATTAAACACAAAAATGGAAACGACAATGCATAGAACCTGATAGAACCTGACAATCATTTTATTTACTCTATCCCGCTTCACAATTCTCCTCCCCGCACCATTTTTGTTGTTTACCTCGCTGAATCCCTCTTCAAGAGACGTTTCCTATAAATGATGGTGAACGCTCCCACGTATTCCTCCTCGCTATTGCTGATTTATATCAACCTCAATATTACGGTAAGCTGTTTAACATAAATTAACACAATACAGTAATCACAGAACCTAATAGAACCTGACCTAACAAACCCATAGGTTGGGTATGTTAGGTCAAGTTCTATGTATTGTCGTTTCCATTTTTGTGTTTAATGTCATGATATTAGTGTGCAGAAAAAATTTCAACCAATTCGGACAATTCATTCTGGTGGTCATCCTCTTCTACACCTTTACTGATGTTTGTTGATTTTCTTTATTTTTGCTGTATTTATTGATTATCTACACCTTTACCTATTTTTTTTACATGTATAATATTACTGATATGTTGAAGATCAATATTAGTTAAACTTGGAACAATCAAATTTACTGTTAAATGGTTGCACCAGTCAGTGGGCATGTTGAGCCTCTTCAGAACACCAGTGGTACTGAGTAGAAGTCTTCATATTTGTATTAGTATTTTGTATTTAGATACTGTACCCTGTACTGGACATTGCATAGACAAATCTAAGGAGTCCCTACCCACTAACCCGGGTAAAATTCCACTTCTTGTCACTCCAAGAATTTTGAGAATTTTATGGTTGCAATAAATAGTTTATACAGTTCTAAGACACTTTTCTTCTATAATGCTTCCCTTGCAAACTATCTAACCAAACCTAACCTAATGGGGGCTCCACCCCCTGGACCCCCGGCATACTATAGGTAGTTTTGTTCTAGCTAGGCACTTGTTGAACAAAATGACACCAGGCAACTGAATATTGAAAATAGGTTTTTCTAGTGTAAATCATCGTGTTAAATACAAATATTATAACCTTCTTTGTCGTCGGAAATGAGGCATAGTGATGATATTGGAAAAAATTATGAGGGAAAAAAATCGACCTAACCTAAGCCAATTTAACTCTCATTATCCAAGAAACTTACCTTACGTGAGAGATTCAGGAGGATAGAGTGGTGTCTTCGTCAGTGACTGTCTCTTGTCACAGTACCCTGCATGGCAATCTACACGGTATTGACACTCAGTTACATCTCGAACACTTTACAGATGAAACAAAAGCACCGTGAGGCCTAGAAATGACAACGGCTTCTGCTTCATTGTCCAAAATGCGCTGAATAATGCGGCAGCTAGCTAATGTACATCCATCTCGCACAGACACCATCTTCCAACTGGCTGCGAACGATGATTATTACACGAGTATTATGTCACATCGGCTCTCACGATGATTGACACGCACGACTATTATTTCACATCAACACTCATTCTGATTGGACAAATATTATACCCTGTACTTTCCTTTTTTTTTTTCTTCTTCTTTTTTTTACTTTTACTCAAAAACTATAAGTTTCCAACATAAACGTTATAGAATTAATTATTTTTATTTATTTATTTCCATCTCCCCATATATATGACTCTATATTCAGTTGCCTGGTGTGATTTTCTAAATATTGACCAATGATTAAAAAATTGCCAGTTTCTCTGTTTTTTATAGTGGATACTTGTAGTTTGTGCAAATGTATTAAAAAGTGGTTATTTCTAAATTAAACCTAACCTAACCTTATTGTGGTATAAAAAACAGACCTCAACAACCTAACCAAACAAACCTACCTAACCTTACCTAACTTCCTTATCGGTATATTAAACAGAACGAACTTACTATGATAGGGTGTAATTTTATGTTTTTTTGTGAACGTGAGAGCAACTGCCTGCATTGGCTTTGATCCAGCTCGGACGGCAGAATGTTTTGAAATACGTCATATACAACACACTTTGCACACAAACCCAGTTCGATTTCACAGTATTTCTGTGAAAAGTACATTCTTAGAAAAAACTTATAAATAAAAGTACAATACTGCACTGGGTTTAATCTTTGCATTTTCTAGTCAAGTTCCTTTATAAGCACTAGAACTGTAGCACAAGACTGGCTAGGTGCACAAGAAATGATTATCATATCAGAACTCACTGATGAAAATAAAGTTAGAAATTAAACAATAAAACAAATATTTCGTACGTGGCTCAGTCATCAATATTAATCTATGCAGCTTAGTGAGATGTCAGGTAATCCCATGGCCTGCTACCTTTGGTACTGTCATAAATTGATTGGTAGTTAGAATCATCACAACTGTCCACAGTTATACTTGAAGTTATTTTATTTTGTAAGTTACACAAGACAAATTTGTAGTTTTCTGTTCACTCAATGTTCCCTGACTTAATTTAAACACAAATGGTAGTTTTCTAGCTATATTAACAGTAGTATAGTAATGTTTATACAATAATTTGGTATTGTCAGACTAATAAGCATCAACTGTTAGCTTGTAATTGGCTGAGAAAGAGAGAGGTATAGCCCAGAGGAATCCAGGTAAAAAAGTCACAAGATAAAAATTCACAAAAAAGGCACGGAAAAAATCTAACCTAACCCAACCCAACCTAACCTAACTTAACCTATGTATTGTCAGTTAATAACTGTTTTAAAATATTTTTAGTTTTATTAAATAAAATGTGACTTTTTTCCTGTGACTTTTTTCCTAGCTAAAATTGTGACTCTTTTTCTGTGACTTTTTTCCTGTGACTTTATTACCATTCACCGCCCAGAGAGCTCGTCTCGGAACACGTTTTTGGGGTATCGTGTTGGACTATGAACTTTTGAGTTGGATGGTAACCTCACTTCAAAAGGCCATTAACAAAACAGCTGACATGAACAAAAGGCTGGTGTGGAAGTTAATGGGCTGTCAAGTCAATATGACATGATATAAACAATGCTTCTTCTATTTTTAGATCCTCATTACTCTGGGTGATAGAATGTACTGTATATAAACAATTTATTTACCCTGTAATACTATTGTCACTATATTTAACAGAATGAACTGTATATAAACAATTTATTTACCCTGTAATACTATTGTCACTATATTTAACAGAATGTACTGTATATAAACAATTTATTTACCCTGTAATACTATTGTCACTATATTTAACAGAATGAACTGTATATAAACAATTTATTTATCCTGTAATACTATTGTCACTATATTTAACAGAATGAACTGTATATAAACAATTTATATACCCTGTAATACTATTGTCACTATATTTAACAGAATGAACTGTATATAAACAATTTATATACCCTGTAATACTATTGTCACTATATTTAACAGAATGAACTGTATATAAACAATTTATTTACCCTGTAATACTATTGTCACTATATTTAACAGAATGTACTGTATATAAACAATTTATTTACCCTGTAATACTATTGTCACTATATTTAACAGAATGAACTGTATATAAACAATTTATTTATCCTGTAATACTATTGTCACTATATTTAACAGAATGAACTGTATATAAACAATTTATATACCCTGTAATACTATTGTCACTATATTTAACAGAATGAACTGTATATAAACAATTTATATACCCTGTAATACTATTGTCACTATATTTAACAGAATGAACTGTATATAAACAATTTATATACCATGTAATACTATTGTCACTATATTTAACAGAATGTACTGTACATAAACAATTTATTTATCCTGTAATACTATTGTCACTATATTTAACAGAATGAACTGTATATAAACAATTTATATACCCTGTAATACTATTGTCACTATATTTAACAGAATGTACTGTATATAAACAATTTATATACCCTGTAATACTATTGTCACTATATTTAACAGAATGTACTGTATATAAACAATTTATATACCCTGTAATACTATTGTCACTATATTTAACAGAATGAACTGTATATAAACAATTTATATACCCTGTAATACTATTGTCACTATATTTAACAGAATGTACTGTACATAAACAATTTATTTATCCTGTAATACTATTGTCACTATATTTAACAGAATGAACTGTATATAAACAATTTATATACCCTGTAATACTATTGTCACTATATTTAACAGAATGTACTGTATAAACAATTTATATACCCTGTAATACTATTGTCACTATATTTAACAGAATGTACTGTATATAAACAATTTATATACCCTGTAATACTATTGTCACTATATTTAACAGAATGAACTGTATATAAACAATTTATATACCCTGTAATACTATTGTCACTATATTTAACAGAATGAACTGTATATAAACAATTTATATACCCTGTAATACTATTGTCACTATATTTAACAGAATGTACTGTACATAAACAATTTATTTATCCTGTAATACTATTGTCACAGAATGTATATTTATATACAATACTATATATTTAACAGAATGAACTGTATATAAACAATTTATATACCCTGTAATACTATTGTCACTATATTTAACAGAATGTACTGTACATAAACAATTTATTTATCCTGTAATACTATTGTCACTATATTTAACAGAATGAACTGTATATAAACAATTTATATACCCTGTAATACTATTGTCACTATATTTAACAGAATGTACTGTATATAAACAATTTATATACCCTGTAATACTATTGTCACTATATTTAACAGAATGTACTGTATATAAACAATTTATATACCCTGTAATACTATTGTCACTATATTTAACAGAATGAACTGTATATAAACAATTTATATACCCTGTAATACTATTGTCACTATATTTAACAGAATGTACTGTATATAAAAAATTTATATACCCTGTAATACTATTG